TTTTAGGTTAATGCTGTGTTTTAATATATTACTCATGTTCATTTTTAAATGCAGGACCTTAACTTGTCATGAATACTTTTTACTCAAATAAAGGATCTGCAAAATTTAACCGATATCTAGCTGTCCAGTCCTTTCCTTTCAGATTTCTACGTGTCACTTGGTGTGTCCTTTTCCTTTGGTTATTCAACTGTGGCTCATTACTGTACACGCTACTGTTACGATAGAGGATTTCTTGGAGATAAAAAAGTAAAATCACATTTCTCCATGCATTTTATTGAAAAAGTAGTCAGATACATTTGGCAATTTGTTAATTGTAGCTCCTAAAATGAAATTCAAAATGTGAACTTGTAGGTAAGAAATAATAAATCATCCATACAGAACTAGAACGTCTACTTTTCCTGTAGAGGTGAGGATGCTATGATGTATTGATGCTGCAAAGTTTACTGCTCAACTAAATGGACCACATTCATGTAAAATCCCAAATGAAATCCTTTCATAAGGGTCAAACTTTCACTAACATGATGAAGGATCATTTTAGAAATTGTCGACTAGAAAGACCAACATTTGAATTTAAGGCTGTTTTTAATTTTTATGTAAACCTTTATGATACATTTCAGCAACAAGGAAATATCCAAGAGCAACATCCAAACCTAATGGGATGTTAGTCCTGAATAGAAAACAATGCATTTAATTCATAGAACAGTCTAAGTAATATGCATCAGCAGCAGTATGTTTTAGATTTTGTCTAGTTTCTTATGTTTGAGGAACAGATATTAACCATAGTGAAAATAAAGGAAAAAAAGAGTAACTACTGAGAAGGTGAAACAGTGCCATGAGCTGTCAGGGGTACAACACAAGCCCTACAAACTTGTAGCAACTTGATTGAAAAGAGGTTGCAAAAGAAAACCTTTGACACTGTGTGTGTTCTACCCTCCACCAACTGCCACAGCATCAACTTAATGTCCTTGTTCTTCTGTCTCGGTATGGAGCTTCCAAAGACACAAAGAAACTAGTGTGGCCTCCCAGGATCTTGCTAACAGAAACACACTAGTCAGATTCGTAGTCAGAGTCCCGGTGAAGCACATCAGCTCATGACTTATTGGCTCCTCTCAGGGCTGCTGTTTCCAGTTAGTAATCGTCTTCATCATCCGAGTCCATCACCCTCCGTCTGTTGAACTGCCAGGCACAGCGTATTAGAAATACAAAGCAAGCGACTGAAAATGAATCAAACGTGTAATACTTCAGTGGGACTTACTGTGACAGTCGTCTTTTTCTCTGTTTGCTGACTGACTTTTTCTAGGATCTCGATCAAGCCCGACTCTGAAATCTAACAAAACAGAAGTTGCGTTCGTTGTTTTTTTGCTGTCAAAGTGGAACAATCTCAATAACTTCAGGAACTTTAAGCATTCGAGGTTATTTTCTCACCTTTCCTCCTAACTTTCCGAAACGAGCCATTTGAATGAGATAGTTTTCGACTGCGTTTGCCTTCTCTGGCTTCACCAAAGCAAGATTGCTCACTGAAAAAAAAAGGAAAGTAAGAAAACATCATTAATCTGGAAAGCAAGAATTTCAGTGGCTCAAAGGTGAATGTGACAGCACGCTTACATCTGGCACGGGCTGACTGGTCTAGAACTTGAGCCAGTATAGAGTTCCTCATTTCTGTTTCTCTGTAAATAAAAACAAACAACATTAACATTTCTACTCACTGCTGAGACCAGTAAAAATAAAACTCAAAAATATATTAATTAAATAAATTATAAAGCTATCAGAGAACCTGCTGGGTACCCTGTCAGGTTTAATATTATATATTGTTTAATCAAATATATTCTATAAGAATAATGATCTAATTAAAAATGCAGATAGTTCAGTGTGCATGTTTTATTTAAGGAATAAAGAAAGTGTCCTGTATGTTAGCAAAACTATATAAGTAAAATGCAATCACTACACTTGTATGCTATAAAATTAATTAAACATCTTACCTTTGTTTGGCCTCCTCTCCTTGCTGACTATTAGATTCCTGAAAGAACATTTGAGACAGCACCATTATACATAAGCTGTATTTCTGCATTCAACGAACTGTTTAACCCTTCAATCCACTTATATTTACACCTCAAACAATTTCCTTCAACTACTGCTTTTAATGCTTTTTATTTTGGTATCTAAGAAGCCTCCTATTGTGTCTGCTTCCTGAAAAAATGTAACAACTTCTCATATCACTAGGTTCATGGCCTTGATAAAAACTGAATGCCTGTCTCTATCATGATAATGGCTGGTGTACTGTAAATGAACCAGGAATAAAAACAGTCCAGTACTTTTCTTCTTCTTTTCCCCTTCTACGAATCGACAAAGTCTGATTGTCATGTTTTACAAGTTTAACAGAATATTAGCCAAACCAAACCCATAGGACGTCCTAAATTTAAAAAATCTGGCGCGTTCTCTGAAAAGTTTCTTTATATTTTTGCGGTCAATGTAAGATAAGAAAGGCATCAGGAGCCCTGGACATTTACAGCCAAGCAAAACCAAACTTTTAAGGCGCAAACTAACACAAATATTGATGTTTTAGGGGTTTACTGGTTGATATTAGTTTGTCACACAACATTAACAAAAATGGTTGAAGAGGATGTCATTTATGTAGTTTTAAAGAAAAAAGAAAAAGAAAAAAGTACTAATATGTTCTCATATCATCCATAGTAGGTAGTGATTGGTGTTTTACATTTAATAAATTAATCACACACACACACACACACACACACACACAAACACAAACATAAACATATATATATATATTAGATAAATAGACACACACTTATACACAAAGTAGTTTGCTGCTTATTGCTTTGTTTAAGATAGCTTGAGCTACGTCCTCTCAATTAAGAAACAAGTCACAACTTTAATATAACAAAAGTCTTATTTCTTATTCCCAACCCAGCCCACCAGTCTATTGTCTGGTTTAACCAGCTAAGCACTAGTGTTGTTGACTCGTTGTTCGTTTTTTTTTTTTGGTCAAGCAAATTAACGTTTTATTCACTGGAGGATAGTTAGCACAAAGCTAGCACACTGACCACTGTGATTTGGCTAACTATGGAGATAACCACACTACATTTACACCCAGCAGGAGCAGCTTTAGTGAGCTGTGTAGCTGCCCTGACTGACAGCTACATTACATTTAGCCACGTTAGCTAGCAGCTCAGCATCTCCTTATAAGGCGGCAGCAAACACGCTTCCCAGCCTCCTCTCAGTCCTTACCCCGTGTTTTGCCTGCAGCTCTGCCATCCTTTGCCGCCTAATTGCCTCTAATTCGTCGTCTGCCATTGTTTATTACAGTAATAGGGACCTAAAAGAAGAAACGGGATGAGATATCCGTATTAAAAAATGCACTCTGCACTCCTGCTAGTCACCAGGCCCTGCCTCGCTCAGGGAGAGTAATCGACATCGGAAAAACTGATTCAGCGGTCAAGTTTAAAGCAATCGAGCACAGAGTCAGGAGTTTTCACAGGAGCTGTAGTTTTTGTTAGAGGAGAGTTTATGTATAATAGCATTTATTTTTAATGATATACACAATTCCAGTGGTTAAAAACAACTAATTACACTTTCCTTGCGTGTAATCTGACACTACGTATAGTATATGAAGCTTCGATTGAATAATAAAATTAAAAATTAAAAACAACAACAACAACTCGTCTTCTTCTGTCTCCTTACAAGCAGTGTTTTGTTTTTTTGCTCTTTTTTCTGCTTCTTATTTGTTGTTAATACCACCTAATATTTTTTTTTTCCCCATAATGTTTTTAAAAAGTAAATTAAAATCTCACAAAGATTAGAGTGAAAGTGCAGAAACTGAAACTGAACTTAGGTTTTCCTTTGTTCGTCTCTCATGAATTACCTCCTGACCCTTCAGATTTATCTGGTCTCCCTGAATGTTAAACTGTATGTGAAGTAAGTGACACCAGCTCCTCCTCTGGCAGCTGTACCTGTAACATGCTGCTTTTTTCTTTTCTTTCTTTCTTTCTCTTTTTTAAAATTACTTTTATTACAATTTCTCGTAGAGACATAGAAAAAATGCAAGGCACTGACAACAGAGCATAACATTGATTATTATGTGCACATTTTAAGACATTAACAAATAAAATATATTAAAAGACAAAGAACATTTCAGCAGCATGGCAACTGTTTTCTAAGCAACATGTTGCTCGGACACTGACATCTCAGTATTGACCTTCCTATTGGTAGCAAAACAGTCAAAGAGACTAAACCAGTACTTTTGCTTTAAAACTTTTCCTGCATTTTGCTGCTAAAACATATGGACTTTTACTGACGAGAGATTTTTTTTGTAATACAGTATTTTTACATTGCTGTATTGACACTTTTACTGAAGTAAAGGATCTGAACACTTCCTCTTCTACTACAAAAGTTTAATTTTAGTGAACTACATTATGTAAACAATACAGAAAGATGAATTCTATTTTCTACATAGAGCATGGTATTTAATAATAAAGACCTAAACAATTTATGTGATAGGTATTACCAATATTGTAGATTAAATTACAGAGTATATGAATAACACCATGGTTTGTTTAATGGGGGAAAATAACATTTATTGACAATAACAATTATTTAGATGGCAGAATAAATCAAATGGAGCTTTGTGCCTTGTGAAGATGTGTGACAGGTCAGCAGGTGCTGCCCCAATAAAGTTCTTGGAGAAGCTGCTTCTGCTTCTGATGTATCAGACAGCTGACGGATGAAGACAGCATCAGAGGGTTTATCACACACTATCACACTTGACCTCTAGCTCCCTCTGTACGTACTGTACGAGAACCGACTCAGGAGCAGAGGAATGTGGTACTTTTGGCCCGGTTCATTTATAGTGAAGACAATCTGCAAGAAAACAACAAACATGAAGGAGATCAACAGCTACAATACTGAGAGTCAAGATTTGTATCAGAATCAGTCGCACACAAGTTAAACACAGATGTGCAATAATTACATCATGCTCATTAAATTACAAATGAAGCAACACCACAGGAAAACACGACAAACAGTGCACCTTAGGGTGACAGCTGAGGATACATGTACCGTTCTAAGCCTTTCCTCACCTCCACATAGGGGTAAAAGCTGGTTTCTCCCACACTGGCCCAGTACTGAGCCGTTTCAAAATGCAGTTTGTACACGCCAGATGTAAACAGTTGTGCTGTGATAAGTCCTGGGCAACGTCCGTCATCGTTAGTGACCCTGTTCAGACAACGTAACATTTACACTCTTGTGATATTCTTTGAAATTCTCAAAACAGTTGAGTTCCATTGTTCAGGTTGTTACCCAGCAGTTATCAAACTCCAGGCTTTAGTCAGTGGATCTTGCCGGTGAAGGCTGAGGGACATGTTTGAACCAGGGACGCCCATCGCGGTGTTCAGGACATGTGTGGTCAGAGGACTAGGCGAGCCTGCCATCGTTGTGATCTTCAGGGCAACCAAAGCAAGACGATCAGCATAGCAATAAACTCTCCGCTCACATTGACGTATTTATGCAGGCCGTGTTTTGTTGATGCGACATTTGGTTCGTGCATTTATTTTTATCTTTGGCAGTTAATTCCAACTTGACACGATAAACACTTTAACCTCCTATCGCACATGTAGACAGAGCTGCTGTATCAAAGCTTTCAGAATATCCTGATGTCAAAAACTTAGTTTAAACTTGGCGAGTATTTTGATATGTATGTGAATTTTGATAAAGCATTTTTGCATCCTTCATGAGTCATGAAAAAAAGAAAGAGAGAAAACTACTGAAAACTACTGAATGAATATGTGGTAGTTGAGAACACAGAATGAAAGTCCTGCTTCACAATACTGTAGATAACTGAGATTATTAATTCTTTATGCAGATTTGTAGTCCTCTGTTGAACAAGCAAGTTGTGATTAAATACATAAACTGATCAGATAATCAAATAATATGAAATGTAATTACTGCTAATAGCTTCAGTACAAGTTGGTGTTTGATACTAATGATAACATCTGACAGTAAAATGATTTAAAAGAAACCATGTTAATAGCATTTTATATTAATGTTTCCAAATTAGAACAATTATTAAATCAAATCAGATGCAGGACTATTGACTGTTCCTATTGTCTCCTCAGTCAAAGTTAATAAAATACAGCACGATACAACACTACACTTTAAATAATAAAGTCTACATCTATTCATCAATAATCCTCCATTTGCATGAAACATTTCCTCTAAGTTTTGTGCTTACCTTATTCTCAGGCAAAATATGACCCTTCAGTTGCTGCAGCCTGAATGCGCTCATGTGCACTGATGAATGAAATCTAAACTAGGTCAGCAGTTTTAACCAAGAAATGTAATTTTACGGTTTATTTAACAGCATCAGATTTTGGATCACATTACCCGCACCAAGTTCTGCACGCTGCCCTTTTCTGTGTGACATCCAGTGCTCATGTGCTTATCTTTCTGTCAACAGAAACTGGTTGTGCAAGAGCTCCTTTTGTCACACTTAGTGTTCAGCACTTTGAACTTAGTGGAAGTGGATGATCAAAGTGGGGTTTATCTGGGGCCGAGGCCTGCGCAGATCTGCTCAACTAAAGATATAAAAAGTGGGGAGAAAAAAAAAGGTTTTATATTTTCTGACTTTGGTAGTTTGTCTCCTGGGTTAATGAACCCTTAACATCCTGACAGACATGATACCTTCCTCATACCCCAAAGTTAAATTCTGTTTTAAATGTGAGTTGGAGCTAAATGTTGCTTCTTCTGGTTCTCATGTTAAACTAGCAGCACATCTGATCCCAAGAAAACAATGTGCCTCAAGCAGCCTAATGTGCATCACTGATCAGATTATCAGGAAAATTGTATTAAAGTTGATGTGGGACTGCAGGATTTCACTGCTGCTATTTCTGAACATTTACAGAATGATAATGTTCTAATCAGTGTGCTTGGTTGTCTGTCTCTAAGTGTAGCCCTGTGATAGACTGGTGACCTGTCCAGGTGTCCCCTGCCGTCATCCTAAGTCAGCTGGGATAGACTCCAGCCCCCCTGCAACCCTAGTGAGGATTAAGTGGTGTATAGATAATGGATGGATGGATGACCCGTTTAAACTTTAAATAAAGTTTTTACTGTGAACTTTGCCAGAGCTCCAGAGTTCTAACGATGGCTGGGTTTTGGCAGTTGTCCACCTGACTTCAAGGTGGGCTACAAGGTGGTTAGCATTGTTGCCTCACAGCTGGGAGGGCCCCGGTTCGCATCC